AAATTTCTTGGCTATAAATGTACTTAAAAATATTTTCATGGATATTGTTATCAATGCAAAAATACCTATTCATCAAAAATATGTATGTACATATGTATGCAACTATTCATATACATTTATATGTACGTATGTACATATGTATGCATGAAACGAAACGCACTTCTCCGAAATTTGTGAAAAGGCGCAACAGATAACGACCCAAAAGAGCGCGCGCGGGAAAACTTTGCCGCCAACAGCTGAAAGAAAACAAGTAGCTACGCGCCAATTTGTAATATTTCTATCACACACTTGCACTTACTCATCGCAGAAAAGGTCATCACATGGCGCACTAAACAGCGCATAAACATATACCTAAATAAAAGCAATCAAATATGCTCATATGTATGCAAATATGTACATATTCACAAATGTGTGCATAGTACATATAAAGGTGCTTCAGCTGGTTTGATATTTAACAAAGTAAATTGAGGGATTGAATGAATGTGGATACAGTCGCCGAAGATAGGCAATGACGTAGTATCTTTCAATAGAACCCAACCTGTCGCAACATGTTAATATACGTCGTCGTACAGTCAGCAGTATTAATACTTTTTTTGCAATACCAGCAACGACAGTGCAATTAGCCGGTTAGCGAATCTGACTACGTCTGCATTGGGGATAACCTCTTTCACTACAGTGCATGTAGTTACATATATTGTTTTTATACAGGCAAGTTCGCAGAAACAGCTGTCGCTCATACACAGCTCATACTAATCGATTTTCTTGTGATTTTTCATTCTACGTTGGGTTTTATACTAAATTTATGGTTGGATACATTACTAACCGAAAAAGCCTACCTTCTTGTACATCTGCCAGATATCTGGATATTCGATTGGCATAATAACGAAACGACGTGGGTTATCCTTCAGCAAAGGTTCAATTGTTGGATCAAATGGGGCTGCAGGCTTGCTGGCTAGCGTTGTCAATTGCTCCGATGCAGTATCTTGCATTTTCGCCAAGTCCTCGTTGGGAATCGACATTTTGCGCATGTTATTCACGTCTGTCAAAATTTTTCTCGGACTCTGCAAAATATTAGCATATCTTATTACACCGAACCGCATTATATGTGGCATCAGCAAAAACGCGGATGTTACAAAACCGAATTTCACTCACCTTCAGCGAAAATTTCTCCAAGTTCTCAGCAATGTTTTCTTTGCCAGCAAATGCCATTTTAGTCTTTGTTCTTAATATGTATTAAATACGGTCAACGGAAATATAATTGTATAGCACAAATGAAATCGTTCGCAACTTTGCAAAACGTTCTTTCAGGAACAGCACAACACGACTCACAACTCGTTCAGCGTCAGAAAACTTATTGAAGAATTAAACGTTCCGACCACCTCCTCTTATAGGCAATTTCTTTCCTGGTGCATTCGTTCGCAATATTGGCGGGAAATATTTTTGTTGCCCACTACCAGGGTAGCCAACTCATTTTTGAGAATTCCCCGATTTTGCCGGAAATTTCGTAAAATTACCCACCCATGTATATCTCCTTGTTTACAAAATAAAATAAAAAATAGTGACGTATTGCTGGTCTGTATTTATTTTTTTTGTTAATGTAATTCAAACTTTTATAAAGTTAGTCAACAAATAAAGAAACAAATGTACATTTATGTATGTAATGTTTACAACAGTGGTCGAAAAAGTTTCAGTCGCGCCTAATTTTGACAAGTTACACTTATGTTTTTTTTTTGTTATTAATTTGAATTATTTTTTTAATATAGTTAATTTTTTTACAAAAACCGTACAAGTTTCAAACTTTGTGTGATATTAAAAAAAGTCTACAAACTTTCGTAAAAATGTGAGCTTTTTTATTAGATTTTCTAGAAATATTTAGAATATGCCGCCTTGTAGCCCACTCAATTCTAATAAATGCAAGTTTCAAGTGGTTAAAAGTTTTTGTTTTAATTTTTTTCCTAAACTGTTGCGGTTTTCTTCCACATAAAAAAGTGTGTTTATTCGTTATATGAATGCAAATGCGACAAATAAAATTCCAAATCAACGGTAATTTGTACAATTTGCAGGATTACATAATCAGTACTTTTAGTTGCAATTGCATTTCTTATGCGACTTTTTGACCTCATTATAAAGTCACTAAAGCAAAAAAGAATAAATTAGTTAACACCTAATTCCTCATAAAAAGCAGTTCATCTCCCGATTCTGCACGTAAACTGAAATTCTTTACAACAAACGGTCTATTCCCCGATTCCCCACGCAAACTCTAATTCCCCGCAAATCGGGGAATTCCCCATGAGCTGGCTTCCCTGCCCGCGACTCTTGTTTACGAATGTGTGAGGGAGATAGTAGCTGAAAGATGCGAAATTGCGAACAAAGCAAAAAAATGTCATCTTTACTTCTTTTCAAGTGTCATTCGCTGAATTAATGCACTACGAGAAGTACAGGGTGAAAATACGTAACCAACACTGCACTACCAGCCGCTCTTGCGCTGCTGTACCGACTATCGCGTTTCTTCCTATATTGCTGTTGTTGTTGTTGTTGTTGTTATTGTTGTTGTTGTTGTAGCAACAATTAAGTTCCCCAAAGAGTTTTTGGGGAGTGTTGCTGCAGTGACAGTCCTTGGCCAAATATAAATCTGGGTCGTTCCGCTTACGTAGACCCGACTGTCGTGGAACGTCCATTTTGCTGTCATGAACGAAAGACACAAGATCACGTAAGAACAAGAGAGTGAAAAAAGTCGATTTTTTTTAGCGGGTTCTATGCCATCTTGTTTCACTGGAAAACGAGCGAAAAGTAAACAAAGCAAAGAAAACCAAAATTATTGTCAGCCACTTTAAACGCACAATTTATGTAAAATGATGCATCAAAATGCTTTAAAATGTGTTGTCATGTGGAATTAACTCTTCTTTACTTGAATAAAAGTGTAAAATAGTGGTGCTTGTGATGTAAACAAACGCTCAGCTGACGAACCCGCTTTCGCAAACTTTTTTCTCAAAACCAGTTACAAATACAACGTCGCGTTCTTACGTGATCTTGTATTTTTGGTTCATGTTTTGCTGTCGGTTAAGACCAAAATTCACTCCGGAATCGGTTAGGGATTAAGGGAGGGTTGTTCAATGCCTGATTAAGGGCCGGTTGTTCAATGTCTTGTTTGTACGTAACATTGACAAAAGTCGATAACGATGTTTAACCGATGATTTTTTACTTTTTTACTTTGTAAACCGAAAGAAGGCTGAAATTCTTTGCTTGAACGAGTCATGTTTGCATGGTATATGGCGAAATGGGAATCGATTTGGGACCAAATGCTCTACCGGAATCGGTATGGGACCGAATGCACTTCCAGAATAGAGCTGGGACCAAATCATCGAAGCAAAACGTCGATATATTAGATGAATCGATCGATGTTTTTCCGACATTCCAAACAGGGATGAAAAATGGAAATTTCAGATTGTACCTAATATCATAAAATAAATGTACCTAAATGAGACAGATTGTACCTAAAAAAATTTACATCATTCATTTGTAGTTTTATTATAAATTTTTTTTTAAAACATGAATACAAAAGATGGATGTACTTTAAACATGATTAGGTTTTTTTTTTTAACTGAGCCTATATCTATAGACTATAGTCTAATGGGAATCGAAGAAGCGTTGTTTTTGTTTAATTTTGACTACTGAAAAATATTGGCGAAAAAGACAAAAAACATCGATGTTTCGTCCAAAAACATCGATGTTAAAATCGATGTTTTGCTGGACGATACATCGTCGATACATCGACTAGGAAAGTGAAAAACATCGACATCGTTCACTCACTCCGTTCGTATTGTGCCGAACGACCAGTGGCAAGCGAGCGCTTGTTTTCGGAAGCTGATGCAACCATCATTCAGGATGCAGTAGGCTTTTGGGGGCTAGATTATCAAAGCTTGTTTTCTGAACTAATTTCAAAATGTTTATTCATATTTAAATAAATAAGATTTACATATTTAACATACATCATAATAATAAAACAGGTGCAAGTTTTAAGCGGCTAAAAATCGCTTTGATTTTTAATGATTTTTTTTGGCGGCTTTTGCGTTTTTTTCAAATAAAAAGTTAAAAATCAAGGCGATTTTTAAAGGCTTTTTCTAAAAATTCAGATAAAAAAGTTCAAAATTAAGATAAAAATGTGTTGAATTTTTCAAAGTTTTGTATAAAGTTATGGTTTGCAGCGGATATGTGAATCTAGTTCTTTCGACTTTAAAAAATATTTCAGGCTACATTTTATTTCGTGTAGTAGATGAGATATTAAAACATCGGTAAAACATCGAGTATCGTTTTTATAACCGATGTTTTTTGACATCGATGTTTGTTGCGGGAACATCGATGTTTTTGAGAGCGATGTTGCATCCCTAACTGTATGGGCGAATAAAGGCTGGTTTTCATTATGTCATATTTTGACATATTTCGACACAACTTTCTTTCCTTTATCCCTACGTTTACCGATGATATTATGGGCCAAAAACTTACAAATAGCCACTTTAACAGCGCATGTACACGCCTGAAGGCCTATTATGATCTAAGTCAATCAAAATACCATTTTTGAGTCTCATTTGACAATTTGTTTTCACTTATTTGACCGCAAATGCCATTGAATTTGACTTAGTGAAAATAACCGTTAAGATTAATAGAAAAAATTACGAATTTGAGGATAGCTAAGTAAATTGTTAATTTGTCGTAGTAGCTGCTCTAAAAACAGTGTAAGATGTTTAAGATAATACTTAATATGACTTCCTTTTGACCACTTTTCTTTAGAATTGTTTATTCTTCAAAATGAAAGCTAAGCTTCTCCCGTGCCTACAAGTAAATATATTAGCACGGTAAAGGAAAAAGAAAAAAAAACTAAAAATGCATCTGATCAAAAGATGATTGTACCTAAAATCTAGTGGCTGTACCTAATGTACCTTTAAGTCATCAAACGTCGGAAAAAAGGTACAATGGTACCTACTTTTTCATCCCTGATTCCAAATGTAAACAAAAAGCGAAACATTTCCGAAATTCCTCCAAGAAAATGTAATATTTCTTTTCAAAACTAAATATACATCGGAAGCGTTAGAAAATTACCAGGTATGTCCGATATCAACAGCTCTACGCACCACATTCGCCAGAAATATTGTCTGAATCGTTTGGAATACCGTAAAGGACGTCGATTAAGAGCTGTTAAGGTACTTGCATTTTTGAGAAATACATGTTTAGCAGGATGTAGTACATAATTATTTGTAAATTTTTAAGGTATATACCGTGGCAAATGAATCAAACCATCTTCTAGTATTTGGAGTTCCAAAAATTAACTTGAAGCAAGAAATAAAGTGTAAACTGCAACGGTGTGGGGAGCTTGAATTCATCCAATGTGTAACAGAGGAGGTGGCCAAAAAAGGTTTATAAAACGACTATATTTTTTCTGTACTCATTTTAATATTAAAATTTCAGTGGAACTGGAAGCTTTCACTGATGTTTTTCATGTAAAATTTGCAAAGGTGCAGTTAGCGCGGCTTGCTAAAACTTACTTGGATGCGCAAGAGTTTTATGGGGGCATACTTCATATTTCCTATGCTCCGGAGTATGAAACCATAGATGAACTTCGGCAGAAAATCTTGCTTAGGAAAGTTGAAGTTAAGCATAGACAGCGGGTAAACGAAAAAGTGGAATTAACAATAGCATCAATTTCGCAATCTAATCAGGAGAAGAGAAGAAAAGAGATCTAAAAGACTTAAAAATAAAGAACTAAGGTATTTAAAGCTTGTATTTAATTGCTTTGTATCAGAAAAAGTATTGTTCTTTCAAAATACATAACAATGCGTAAAAATACGTGGCTTTGTTTCACTACTTAAAACAAATCAATTTACACAACTACATATTTCAAATAATGTCAATAGCATAATTACAATTTTGATTCGAACTTCAATACTTCAGCTAAGCAATAAACTACTATCGGTTATTTCGTTTTTCTTAAGTCATGATATAAAGTAAGAAACGGTATTCGCTTTTGCCACAACTCTGTGCCGAAGTAAACCCAAAATCTGTAAAGCGTGACATTATTAATAGAATTTTCTTAGCATATGTTCACAATGCATGCTACTCACAGTCCAAAGAGGGCGCCACCTAAATGGGCTGCATGATCAAAGAATTTCCAGCCTAGGATGCAGCCAGCCAAATCGAATCCCATAATCACTTTGATCGCCTTTTATAGAAAACAAGAGTTATGTGTGCAATTCTTTACAAAAAGTAAATATGAAATTCAATACTTACAGCTCCTGCAGAGAAATGGAGCATGGGTAGGAAAAGGATGCTTAATTGAGTATCTGGATACTTTGCACATACATACGACAGTATCGCCATAATGGCACCAGACTGAAATTGGAGTAATTAATAACAAATGTTGATTTTAAAGTCTAATGATGACATGATTTCTATTTGATCCCGAAAACCTTACCGCGCCTATAGATAGACCAGCCTGTGCGGTGATCGTCTTATAGAGAATACTAGCAAAACTCGCAATCACACCCGCGCTCAGGTAGACTCCTAAGAATTGTTCTTTTCCCAAGGTCAAGACAGCCGCATTGGAAAAGCTGTGTAACACGTACATATTGGCGAAAAGATGAAATAAAGAATAATGACTAAAAGTCGATAGGAACATAGGCCAACAAACAGCACCTGAAAACGAACATATATAGTTAGACTATAAGTAATTTGTTGGTGACCGGAACTTACGCCCCGCAGGACTCGAACAAAAATAAGTCATCATTGTGTTGCGTAAGGCTGGTGAACGCCACATTGTAAACACCAAAATGTTTAACGCGCAAAGTGGCACAAATACTCGTTCACCAGGCGTTAACTTATCCCAGAATTGTTGTACTTCTTGTTTTATATCTTGCCAAGTACTTTGTTCCTGGTTAACAGTCTGCCGTCGAAGCCACGGGAATTTGCTTTGACGAGCTTTCTCTAACATCATATTGCGCGCGTTTTCATACTCCAATATGGTGACACTCATGAAACAGCCAACACTGAACTACAAATGTTGAGAAGTTATTAATTTCGAAATTCACAAATCTTTACTTGTTTTGAAATACCGCGCCTGTAAAAATTAACGCTTTCACCACATTACTTGGCGGTATAGCTCCGCCGAAGGTATAATTCTCAAAAGGTGGAGATGTTTGTAGACTTCCACTCCGAGCTGGACGCTGATGTTTTGCACTGCTGCGCATGGAACGTAGTAATATCGCACGCGGTCTAGCATATTTACAACTATGGCTGGGCAGCAATGGGTCACTGAAATTCAACTCCATTAGAATATCTAGTTACCTACATATAAACATACATATGTATTTAAATGCAATAAATACACTCACACTAATTGCCTAGTCCAATTACGACAGAATGCTCTATGCAAGAGCATTATCGTTTATTTTGCGATTTGTACAAATAAATAAATTTCCTAAATAAAACGCCACGATCTCGTCACGCCTCCATTCACCTTCAATCAGCTGTTTACTTCAATTTGTTTTGATTCGTCGTTTGATTGTTAACAGCTGATAAACGATTTTAGCTTTTAGCCGATACATTTTATTACACCCATTAGGACACAACTATCATATATCTAGCAGTAATGAGAAAAATAAATTGTATAAAACCAAAGAACGTAAATCTATAAGAGGAGACAACACGTTATAATTGTAGCGAGTGTGAACAGCAGGAGCGTGCCTCTCTTTTCTTCCAATCACAAAACGTATTTGGGTAAAAGAGATAAAACATAAAAAAACCTTCACTTTTGTAGTTAATAGTAGATAGTAACAATTTGTAAAAATTGAAAATTGTATGCACTCTTGAGCCAAATAAGAAAAATGTATTTAGTGCGAAAAGCTTAAAAGTTCTTGCAAACAATGTCATGTGTTATTAATCGAAGTGAAAACAATTCGAATATAATGAAATGTGGAATTCATTCATAAGATCTAACCGGGTACTCGTCATTGAGCTATCAGGCTATCAGCTTTTGCGAAAATCGATTGAAACGAATCTTTCCTAACTTTATAGTAAATTTGAAAGGACGCCGCGCAAGAAGTGTTTACGAAAAATTCGCGAAGGAGCTGTGCGAAGTTATTTGATTAAAACACGTGTCTGCAGGGAAAATGGTTTTGGCAAAAGTGCCAATTACTCCGCAATGGAATTTAACCAACGGTAAATATCAGAGTCACGAAGAATTTGCTATGGGATTAAGATTTTTGTTTCTTTTTTTATAAAAGGTTGTGTGTGCACGCCAGAAGGTGGATTTCTTTATGTCGGTTCACGCAGCATCAATTATGTGGGTCCTTTGGAACAAGTCGATGGTGAGGTGGGAGCAAAGAAGCCTCCTGTGATCAAAGTGTTTCAAACTCGTCAGAGCATTCTGAGCATAGATGTGGATCCGGGGTGGCCAACAAATGTTACAGCAGTTGAAGAAGTTTCTGGAAATGCAAGTCAAGTGACAAAAACCCCTACAGCAGTGGGCCATCAAAAATATTTTGCTGCTTTGGCACAAGATAATTCTGTACAGATTTGGGATTTTGATCGTGGCTGTGCAGTAAGTGGCCATAAGGCACACTTCAGCACCTCTTTATATATGGAGGGTAATGGGCCATCGCCTCAAGGCGATCATGTACTCTTAAGCTATATGCGAAATCGCAATGTACTCTCATTGAATGCACAGGATCTGGTGGTATATTGCGTAGCATCCAATACATATTGTCGACAGAAAAATTTCATTCCGACACGAAATCAAATGCTGACTGTGTTGCGTTGCTCGCCCTATAACGAGCATATTTTTGCTGTAGGCACGAATCGTGGAGTAGTTTTACTTGGCGATTTACATCGCATGACTACATTGTACACACTACGGGGTCATGAGACTCCCATAACTTCGCTGTCATGGTGCCCATCTACCTTGGAACCTTTAAAACGGGAAACCGTTATTGAAATAGAGGATAATGAAGCGGATAAGAGTAAGACTATAACCAACGATAAAACAAAGTTAAAAGGCGATCCAAAAAACAGTTTTAAATCACAAAAGGGATCGAGGAAATCAACGAAACCAGCTGGAAATGATGATATTTTCGACATTTATGACTACGACTATTTGGAAAATGAATTCGGCGCACCTACAGAAAAAGATAAAAAAGCAAAGGAATCACCTGATGGTTTGGCAGTCATCGACAAAACTATGGAACTTGGACCAAAAACGAATTTTGATTTTGCAGAGGCATGTCAAAGTCTCAAAGAAGAGATAAAAGCCTTGAAGAACGAGGAAAATTATGATCAGAATGAATCCAAACAAATGCCCGATGTTACGCTTGCTGATTGTCAAAATTTGCCACGAGCTGGCGATTTATCTTCGAGTTGTGGCGGAGGTAGTCGTGAGTCAACTGAAGGTAGCCTTGAAATAGGTGGTAGGTGTTCTTCAGATGACGATGTTTGCGTGGATGGTGGAGAGTTAAAGCCAAAGCAACAGATACTACATCAGGCAGAGGTCCATGCCGAGCAAACAAATGAACTAGAGAAGAAAGACAACGATAATAACACTGAAGAGCCGGATGTAAATACTGTAAAGGAGGAAAAGGAGGAAGTAAATTGTGAGAAATCGGAGAAAGTAGAGAAGGAAGAAAGGCATGACGTGGTATCAGAAAGTAATTCCGAACAGCCATCCGTTGATGGATGTGTATCCCAGGATAATTCTTTTACTTCTCCAACTAAATCAAGGAGCGCAGAACTTTTGGTTTCCGCGAGCGTTGACGGACATTTTTGGATATGGAATGCAAAGACTGGGTCATGCTGCGACAGTGTACGTCCAGCAAACATTGCCAAATATGGTAAAAGTATGTATTAAAAACGTTTTATTGTTGTATTAGATTAATTATTAAATAAATATATTCGCCTATAGATAACAGCATCCACGTAGATTGGCTGAGTTCAACACAATTTCTAACCACAAATAGAATTGGCGAAGTGTCATTTTGGTCACTGATAAAAGATACTTCGATCGACTCTTCAAAGCGACAACAGCAACGTTACAAGTTTCAAGAAGAGACGCAACAGCACTTTCAGCAGCGTAGCGTTATGTCGTTTAGCGTTTCTCATCGTTGTAGACTACTATGGAACTTGTCTTCGCATCGTGAAATCAGCTGTGAAAACTTGGAAACAGGAAAATTGCTACTCAAATACTGCTGTGCTTCCACTAATGTTTGCGCGATTCGCGAATGCCCAGATGATATGAATAAGTAATTTCCCAAATTTTATTTAATGTAATATGAGTATGTACAACTATTTATATTTGTAGAATTGCACTGGCCTTCTCCGATCGTCGTGTAGGTATTATTGATATTTCAAAGATGTCGGCCACTAATGTGTTTATCGAAAATTATATATCACGTGTGGATGCATCCGTGCTTTCGCTTGTTTGGAGTCCGGATAGTAAGAAGTTGGCCTTCGGAACATTGGAGGGAAGAGTAAGTGAATTTTGAATTTTGTTTTATAAACTTTGTAATTGTAGTCCTATAATTTAATAATAATTCTGTATTTCTCAAAACAGGTTGGTATAATTCACGTAGAAACTTCCAAGCCCACTATCACCTTTAAACCGTTTTGTGGTAAACCAATTTATTCAATTGATTGGTACGGCAATCATATATTTGTAGTTTGCAACGATATTCTAGCCGTTTACGACGAAAACTTCGATAATAAAGGTAAGTGCATTTAAAATATTGACAGATTTTTAAATTGAAAACTATCCACAATAAAGCTACTCTACGATGCTCTATGTCCGAACGGTAGGCACTCGTTTTGCGCATTCATTGTGCCAAACGAGAGTGCAGTCTGTTGTGAACGTGTCTGCAGCTTGCGTATATAGGCCAAATGTATAGTTTCACGATGAAAGTCCCATTTATTCCAGGTAACATTAATATGATTTGCGGGTGTTAGATCGTTGACAACTACCATTTCGGTTTGTGTGCCACTTTCTGCTAACTTGCCATTACGCTTTTTACTTTCGGCAGCAAAGTCAGTTTCCAAAAGTTCATCAACCAAGCCAAAAAGCAAAATGAGATCAACAGAAGTGTAGATGGCCGTTTTTACTATTTTTATGAAATCTTCGAAATAACGCTCGGCATACTTTGCGAATTCAATATTAGCAAAACCGAAGCGAAATTTCGAGTCTTCACAAAGCTTCTTTTGTAGAGCTGCGGGCAGTAGTAAACCGTTTGTTAGTGCGATTGTTAGCGCGCAATAATTTTGAAAATTATCTGTCTGTAAGTTAAATTGTGATAATTTAAAAAATGATTTAAAAAATGATATGTAACGAATGCGCGCGATACATACCACGTTTTGCAGCGACGTCATCGCAGGATTTGCCTTGTTGGTGCGTTCCATTAAGTCATCGAAAGTGGGTACAATTGCTTTTTTGATGATTTGTCGCCGCACTTCGGTTATTTCCAAAAGATTTAAAAAGTTTGCCTTAACTTCCTCAGTTAAGCACTCGTCAAATAAATCTTTAAGCTTATTCAGTTCAGCCAAATGGCTAAGTGATAATTGCAAGGAGGTCCAAAGTTCTGTAAGGTATTTGAAATGTGGCTGCAAAAGAGTTTTGGTTTATTACGTTTGCCGATTAACTATCTTACATTTCTTTGTACTTACAAAGACCAACTCAGATTCGATTGCCGTGCGATATTTTAGAACATCATTTATCTTCTCCACTATGCAGTCCATTTTCTTTTGATCAATGCTTACAAGATACTCTGTTTTGTCGAAAGAGACGACTATTTTCTTCAGCAGTTTTTCATAGGTACTGAACAAGGCGACATATTTATTAATTTCCCGCACTTTTTCTATGGGCCACTTGCAATGCACTTTCTTCGCTTTTGTGTCCACTTCGATAAGCTCACCGATAGCTTCCATGCCAGTTTCTATATATTGAGCAATGTCTTCTAGAGCTGCTTCAAGGGATTCTCTGGTGTTTGTTTTTGCCATTTGAATATCCTTTAGGACTGCATAAAGTAAAGAGGAATGTTTTTAACTTTAACAAGTATGAAGAAATGGATGAACACATTTATATATATATTTACATATATATATATTTATTATGGGTGGCATATGCAATAGTTCACAGAAGTGGGTGTCTACTTTTTTTCTGGGCATACACGGGAGGGTAGTAGGTCAATGTGTGCTTTCAAAGTGCTGCAAATTTTTTGCATAGGAAAATTTTAATTTGATCGTCGAAAGGGCGCTTCAGATCGTGAAATTAATTAACACCGTTGTAGCACGTACGGCAGTGGCCTCCGGGTGGTGACTGGAGTTTCGGGAACCACCCTATCCACGGTGAGCTGAGTCTCCCATCAAATTTCAGCCTGATTCTCGAGCCGCTAGGTACACCCATAGAGCAGGCCTGTTTTTGGTTAAGGCGCCGCTCATTTTCTCCATATAAAAAAATTTTCGAACATACTTCGTATGGAAAAATGTAAGTCCTAACTACTTCAAACTTGCACTTTAATGTACTAAAATTAAATGGGTTACAAAACTGCATACTTACAATCTTTTTAATAGTGCTTATCATAACTATACGACACCCACATATTAAAAAGTTTTCACTATTTATTTTATTTTTATTTAATTTTAATTATTTTTTATACCCGAGCGCACTTGTGCACAAGGGTATTATAACTTTGTTCACATAACGGTTGTTTGTAACAGGCAAAACGAATCGAGATAGATATAGACAAATGTATACATAAATGATCAGAATGAAAAGAGAAATCGATTAAGCGGTGACTGTCTGTCCGTCCGTCCGTCTGTGCACACGATAACTCGAGTAAAAATTTAGATATCTTAACGAAACTTGGTACGTGCACTTCTTTCGGGCGTAGGATGGATGGTATTGAAAATGGGCAAAATCGGACAATAACCATATTGATATTGATATTTGCATTAATTTTTAGACGAAAAATAAGAATATTATAAATTTGTGGAAAATGTGCGTAACCACGCCCACTTATGGTTACATGTGTATATCTTGGTAACCGCTGATTTCTTCCAAACTTGGCACAGTTGTTAGCCTTGATACAGCATACCAAATGGCTGAAAATTTTTAAAATCGGACAATAACCACGCCCACATCCCATATAACGTAATTAAGCGAAATTCGAAAAATCAGTAAATATTAAAGCTAATTTATTCAAAATTGATGCTTGCAACAATTCTTTACCAAGAAACACTTTTATGATAAATTTTGGAAAATGGGCGTGGCACCGCCCACTTATGATCACATATATGTATCTCGGTAACCGTTGTACCAATTTGTACCAAACTCGGTATGGTTATTGTGCTTGCCACGTAAAAGCAAAACGTTGAAAATTATTGAAATCAGACTAAAATCACGGCCGCTTTTCATATAACGGTAAATTTCAGAAATGCTTGAAACTATATATTTCGAAATTTAAGGACGCTAATTTACTCAAAATCTATACACCCCGGCTTACCATGTAGCGGTACTTGCGTGGGGTATTTAATGTTCGGCTCCGACCGAACTTAGACTTTCTTACTTGTTTTTTTTTTTTATAAAAATATAAGCAGATTTTTTAAATTAATAAACGTTTTTAATTAGATACATTACTTGCTTAATTTGTAAATCTTTTTAAATTTAAAACAAAATAGCATAGGGCATATTCATAGTCGAATCAAAGACGAAACTAAAAAGTATTGTCAGAGAGCTGAAATTATTTCAACTTTGTTTTGACCATGCCCATATCCCATTATGTTTTACATTGAAACGTAAATTTTTGTATCCATTTTCTATCTTTTACTATCTCTTTCCCAGTGATTATACCACAAATACACACTTTGTTACTGTTATTACATTTTATCGCTTTTAACTTAGTTCTAAAAATTGCGAGTTCCTTGATAAAGCTATTCTCAAACGAAAGGACATGTTCTTCCTGATTACAATATTGTAACCTAAATCTATTTTTAAAAAAATTAGCTGGGGAAAGACTCCATAAAAAACTTGGCCACTAATGCGTTAAAATATGGTCATCAATGCGTTTAGTCAAAGTCGTAAATGGGTTAAATTATTCATAATTTGCAAAATAATAAAACCAAATTAACATAAGACATTACAAAAAATTGGGTCACTATAGGGTTAATGCACGATCAATAATGGATTAAGACGTCAAAAATATACTCTTAAAAAGTAGTTCAAGCGAGTCTAATGGAAAGAAAATGATTTCAGAATTTTGAGCACCCGCTTATGTGGGGCGGCCCCAGTATGCGTTGAGAGAAGAGTGAAGAGTCAAACATAAAAATCTAAAAAGTACAAAGTTAATTTACTCACTATCTCGCATATTTTCCCGCTCCCCATTCGGATCACAGTTATTATAAATGAGTATACCGCAAACAGTAGCAGTTAAACGCTGTAGATATTCCAAACGATGGTAACGTTTCTTCAATACGAAATCATGCAAATCCCCGCGGCTAAGTACGCTTTTAAGACTCTGCCGCGTCTGTTTCAAGAGCTAGACAACATAGCAATTAGTATGTACATACATGTGGCAGTGAGAAATGGGAAAAAAATTTCCAATAACTTACCACGTGATTCTTCGGATCACCAATATTGTAACAAGCAATAATGAAGACTTGTATTTTGTATAACATTTCATCAAGTTGCTTGTCACTGCTCGTTTCCGGATATTGTAGTATACCTTTAATGAGGCTATGCAGTTTTTTCTGGAAGTTTTCCTGATAAATTTCTTTCATATTCTCAATTTTCAATTCGCGAAAATTTCGAAAGTGAAACTTCATTTTTAGATTACACATTGTTGGATCATTTTGATTTTTATATAATCGAAATATATTTTCTCGAATTTGCAGAATTTTGCAAGGTTTCGGATCCGGCCTGTCGAAACCGAGTCGCGCATCTCTTGCCAACAAATGCACGTAAAAATATGCAAAATTTGGATTCACCTCCAAATCGTGATCTTTGCAATCATCCAGAAAAAGTGTTAAAATACGATTTAAGTAATCTTTTGTTGACATTTCGTGCTTATCAAGAAATTAACACGTACAAATGTTGCTATAGAATAACTTTCCCCTGTAATGGCGAAAAAACGAGTTGCGCCACGTTGGTTTGTTTGTTTGTTACTCTGACAACAGGCTAAATATTTGTATATATATATATAATGCAAAATAAAAATTAATCAAAAACTTAGCTCACATAAATTTGAAACTTGAACTGAAATGTCAGCAACGATAAAAGATTTGTAGGAATATTTCTGCATTTCTTTAGAAAAAATAAATTACTAACAGAGTTCGGTAAATAATGGAAAATAGGAATGTACGGTAGGGGTCTTCGAAACAACTTCGCAGGTTAACAAAATTGTTGGACGGCGAAGGTCGTTTTGTTTATGTAATCTTCATAGTTTGGGTATGACTAATGTGACCAACTATTTCATAGCTCAAATAAGTACAGGTTAGGTTGGGTTTGGTTAAAGTGGTTGCCCCAGGCAAGGGACACACTTGGACATTAAGGATTTGTCCTTTGTGATACCACAAAAAAACTGAACGGATACCCTTAATGTAGTCGGCGAAACGCTGCGAGCCCATTACCAAATTTCGAATGCGGCTAATTTCGATCCCTCCTGAGAGCTCAGTGTTAGTAAGAAGTGTGAGCCAAATTCCTTTCATCTTAGTCTCGCGAAGTTTTGACAGTCTAAAATAAAGTGTGGCTATGATTCCACCTTATCTTCCTCTTGACATCTAATACAAGCCACTAGGCCCAACCCTTTAAGAGTGTACCGCAGGAGGACAGAGGCGTCCCTAGTTGCTCCTTATCTGGCGTAAACGTTTTAAGGGTGCCTTTCCAATGTCAGGTCATCAGACACGCCGTTTCCCGCGATATCACAGTGATCCGGCACCTAAACTAGCCTTTTTAAGAAGTACTCCGACACGATTTATAGAAAGGTCAGACTTTCCCCTACCTATTTCGAGCGCACCGTCACACCCTTTAGCAGTGAGTTAACGCTTCCTTGATGACAGCTTTTTCCATCTGGAAGACACTGCAGAAGTCCTGAACATAGTTTTGGTGGAGATTTTCCAACAGAAGAAACCTCCACAACCCTCTCTCAAAGTTTTGATCCATCCGTGAACTTTACCGCTCCCTTCTTCGAGTAACCCCGAGGCAGAGGAGCTTCTGGGAGCCCTCCAGAACTCCAGAGTGCTACCACCGGGTTTCCCTGAGCCTAATAGCAGTTCGTGATGCAACAATTCTGTCTGAAATATTAGGATTAAATCTGGTTTCATAGAGCTAATGAATTACTTTGGGCG